TCCGTCGTGCTCGACGGTTCCAGCACCATGGTGCGTCCTTCTTAAGGAGATCTGATAATGGCCGAGCCATCTCCGCGTAGTTCGCACTGTACTTGTGCAAGTAATTGGCTAAGCCTAGCCACTTGCGTAAGTCTTTTTGGTTCTTGGGAACCGGCCAGTCCACGATGGCCTTGACTTTGGCAGGATCTGCCCGTAAGCCACGCTTCCCAATGAAGCACCCGAGGAAAGGTATCTCCTCCGCGCCAAAGACGCACTTGTCCAAGTTGGCATACAACTTATTAGTGCGCATGCACTCGAGCACCGCTCGCAAGTGGTCAATGTGGTTATCCACGTCTGACTTTCCGTGCTCGGCACGACTATGGACGAATATATCGTCAAAGTACGTTTGAGCGTACGCCCGGTGGGGCCTAAACAGCTGCGTCACAAGACGATTGAACGTTGCTGGTGCGTTCGACAGCCCCTGGGGCATCACCAGCCACTCCCAGAGCATACCGCTCGGAGTACTCACCGCTGTCAGCGGAATGTCGCTCGCTCTCATGAGCAATTGGTAGTAGCCATCGACCAAGTCGAGCGCGCTGTACAGCGTACAGCCTACCATGTTGTTCTGCAGAACATCCTTGCGAGGAATCGGCGTTTGCGCCGGGATAGTGGCCGCATTTAGCTTGTTAAAAGCATGAACAATGCGCCACTTGCCGTTCGGCTTTCTGACACAGAACGTGGGTGTCGAGTGCGGAGACTTACTCTCACGCACCATCCCTGCCTCGTGCTTCGCACGGAAGAATGCGTCAATGACGTCACACTGCTCTCTCGGCAAAGGCCATTGCCTTGTTACGCAGTATTTGGTTCCAGGAACCAGGTCAATCTCATGACACACGCCTCGATCCGGAGGCAGGCCCGTCGGTGGGTCTTTTGAGACAACGTCTCCATACTCCTTCACCACCGGGTAGAAGGGATCCGAAGGATCTTTGAGGATCGCCGATCCACTTCTTGCGCTCAGCGCCTTCTTGGTGTCCTCTAGGACCGCGTCGTCCACGACGGATGAGGAGTTCAACTCCTCCTCAGGTCCCAGCAAGACCACCTCGGCTAGCTCGCCTGCCTTTAAGGCTTCGCCGAACTCGGCAATGGACATCTCGTCCAGCTCTAGCAGAGCATCTGCAGCGGGCAGAGTATCAAGGCTGATATCGCCTTCTACCTCCCCCGTCACTCCGTTCACGAGTGTATACAGCTGTTCACAGCAATCACGTGGAGCATCACCGCTCGTCACGTTGGACACATCGTCCGACGTCGAAGACGTCACAGACGCCCTGCGTCTTCTTCTCCTCTCCCTCCGCGACCGAGCCCGGCCGGATGAGGGCGGTGTGGCGACATCTCCGTCACCACCACCGGGTGCAGCAGCACCATCACTCCTCGAAGAGGATACAGTGTCTCGCAAGACACTCGGGCTGAAAGCCAAGAGGTTCTTGACCTTCACACAGTGAACTAGGTGTCACTTCACCTGCATCTCCTGGGCCACGCCCATGATGCCTCGACTTGCAGTCGACCGCGACCCTCGGGTCACGCAGCGGTAGGTCATCGACCAGATTCATACCACTCAGTGGATTACGCGCCACTCCGCGCTCGTCCTCACCAGGATCCAGCAGTTGGTCATTGACCTGACCTGCACCGCTCCGCGGATAACGTGCCGCACCACGTACGCCCTCAGGGCAAACAGCAACCTCGTTGCTAACAATTTCGGACATACCAATGTCCAGCACTACGGCCGCCTCGGCCTCGTGCTCGCGCCAAAAGCGCTTCTGCTTCCTAGCAGAGGTGGGTTCATGACTCACCAAAGCTCCACTAGGAGCAGGGTGCGACGCACCCAGCGTTTTCGACTTCCAGTCGATCCATGGCTCATGACGTTCCAGCCATGCCATGCCAAGGATGAGGTCATACCTCGCATCCAGGTCTAAGACCAAACAGCGTTCCACGCTATCGAAGTTCTCAAACTTCACTCCAAGGTCGACAGAGACCTTCGACACAGTTACCAGTGTCCCCGTCGCGAGACGAACAGAGATCGTATCTCTCGTTGGCACTTCCAGTGCCTCAGCATACAGCCTGACTTCCCTTCGAGGGAGGAGCGACGGGCGTAGTTGCCCGAGGCTCCCGAGTCAATTAAGACTCTCCATGGCTTTGCAAAGCCCTTCACGTTCGCTTGAACGACCAGCA